TAAGCTGTTTAGAATACGTAGTCACACGCCTTTCCCTAAAATAAATCCCTTCGATTACTTGGAAGCTCTCAACCTCTGCTAGTACACAAATGCACCGTGTAGTCAGATATTTGTTGTGCTCAGTAATTGCTCAGTCTAATTGTGTTCTTGCATTAGTGGCAGTTTTGGGGTTAGAAACATTGCAAGAATCTCTATGCGAGTAATTCTGTAGCTCTTCAGTACTGTCATGTTCCAGGCTGCCATATTTAGGATAGCTAAATAGAGAGGGTCATTTGAAAGAAATACTCTTCAAAATATGGACCAGAATTTCATCTATATTTCTCTAGGACAAGCAATGGGGTTAGTTTGTAAAGAAAAATAACAGTAATGGTATAAATCTTCAGAATGAAGAGATTACAAAAACGGACTAATTCAAGACTGGCTGTCAGGGTTATGCTTTTACACCTATATTTGTTGCCTAGATACGTGGCTAACTTTAAGCCAACTTTGAAGTTGACTGATTTTGTTTGTGCCCATTGAGGTTGTAGGTACAGACATGAACTGATTCATCCCTCCAGCTCCTTAAATTTTCTCCTCCCTCTGCTCCATGGCCGCAGAGCGGTTGAACACTGAGCTGTGCAGCTTGCACCGCGGCAGTGAGAGTTCAGGCAAACACGTGTGTATGCACCTGTGCATTGCAGAAACCTCATGTGTGGCCATAAGACGTGCAGGTTACGTGTACGGTGTGCTCTGATGAGTAACAAGCAGCGATCAGATAACTCAGCAATGGCTGCCATTGGGACTTTCACTCTGGAGACTGAAAGGTCTCCTATGAGTTTGCATGGCCTCTTCCTTGCTGCTTCCTAAAATGCATCTTCTTCCAAGGGGTTCAGGGCTGCTGGATTTCAAGTTAGTGTTGTAGAGGATTTTGAGAGGCAAAACTTGGTGTAGGAGTTTGGATTTAATTAGATCTTGGGCTGAAAACTTGGGACAGAAGAGGGGGAAAGATGAGTCAAGACATTCTCCTGTAAGGATATGTAAGATACTGCTTCTGACAGTGTAGCACTCCCCAGGGTGTTGTCCCACCTGCCTGATCCCTGGTGCCGCCCGAGGCTGGCAGTTTAGCTCTGATCCATTATAGGACAAGGGGCAATGGCTTTAAACTGAAAGAGGGGAGATTTCGATTAGATATAAGAAAAATTTTTTACATTGAGGGTGGTGAGGCACTGGAACAGGTTGCCCAGAGAAGTTGTGGATGCCCCATCCCTGGAAGTGTTCAAGGTCAGGTTGGATGAGGCTTTGGGCAACCTGGTGTAGTGGAAGATGTCCCTGTCCATGGCAGGGGGGTTGGAACTAGATGATCTTTAACGTCCCTTCCAACCCTAACCATTCTATGATTCTATGTTTAACATGTGCCCTGCCAAAGGCACCGTGGGCAGTGCTGAGCTGAGCCCCTGAGACCCCGCCAGACCTGGCTCACAAGGGTTCCACCACAGTGCCCAGCATCCCTTCCTGCATCGGACTATCATGTCCTGGCTGGTCCGAGATGTTCATTCCACACATGGGCTTCTCTGATGGTACAGGAATGCGTAGAAAGCTGCATCCAAAGCCGAGCTGGGGATTGCCAGCTGGTGTCACGTGTGTACGACTTGCAGGACCCACTCCTGTTTTGTCTCCTCACCTGTACGCATTAACCGTCTGCAAGATCCAGACGTGACCAGGCTGCTAACTGGACCTGTTAGTATTTGAATTTGAGGTTTCCAAGATAAACATCTGGAAAGGCTTTGGACATCTGCCATCCCTCAAGTAGGGGACATGATTCCCAAGCCCCCTGGAAGCCAGCCACACAAGGAAGAGGGCTCTGGGAACACGCGGCTCTTGCCAGGTCATTAGAAGCTTTAGGTCGTGGCTGGGCTGCATGCAGATTTCAGGGGATGTAGAGGATTCTAATGTATTAAAATAGACTTTAACTTTTTAAATATATTTATATGTATATATACACACATGCATAAAAACTTTATACTTTAAAATACACTTACAAATCACAGCCAACCCTGTAAGTGTATTTTATCTTGTGGCTGGCTGAGGTTAGTGGCTAAATAAAGTCCAAATCTGCAGTGAAGCTTTTGGAAATCATGTCCAGCTTTCTGGTGTCTAATAAGAAGTGGACTCATGGACTCTGCCCAGGCACTCCGTGGATTGTTTGCTTTTTCTCTCCACTACCACGTGCCCACTTTTGTGAAAACTATGGGAGACTGTTGGCTTAAAGAGCTTGTCTTCTGTAATGGTGACTGAAATTAGCCAAGGGGTTCAAAGCTCCTGGTGTGGCTGGGCAGAGACAGTAACGCGATGATGTGTTTCCTTGGGTATCCAAGCTGAATATACGTGTGTGTCTGCTGCTGTCCCCTGGAGCGAGCTCAGAGAGCGGGATGCGCTGCCTGAAGCAGGCAGTGACTGGGGTTGTGGAAGGCATGGCGTGAAGGAACTCGGCGTTTTGCAAGCTAAGCTATGAGTAAACACCTAGTTATTTGGCTTCTACCTGTAGGTTTTGCCTCTGCTGTCAGGAAAGACTCATTATTTGGATACTTTTATGCTTTTGACTTGGAATGCTTGACCCAGTCAAATCACACTGCAGAAAAACATCTCACTGCTAATGCAGATTCGTGCTGCGTACGCAGGGTCCGGGTTCCCAACTATGCTTTGCTACACAAATAACTGTTTATATATATCTGTATGGGGGGAGAACTCACCTGCAATCAGAGCAGCCTAAAACCAACATATTTTTGACGCTGTGATTGATCTCTAGGGCACTAAGAGAAACCAGTGGTGTCAATTAACTGCGTGTGGAAACCATTAGACCGTTCAGTGATCATGAGATCACAAGACAGGGAAAAGAAATGCAGAAGTGTGCTTTAGCGGGAGAGATGGAATGGGGTGATGTGGAGCAGTGCCAGCTCTTTGGGTGCCTGGGACAGGAAAAATGCGGTGGAAAGGGGCCTGGGCTGGGGCAGAAGGAGCAGCATCTGTGGGACTGCAGCTGGGGAAGTCTTAATGAGCCGAGATGGTGCTAGCTTGTGTCTGCTGCCTCTGTAGCAAAGCTCCTCTGTGGCCGAATTTGACCCATGAATTAATGCTGTGGATTTTTTTTTCCTCTCTCTGTTTATTTTTTCTGCCTTTCTTTTCCAGCAGAAACCATCAGATAACACTGTTGGCATCAAAATTTACACCAAAGTGAAGCACTAGGTTTTTGCTGGCCCATCTCACACGTGGTGCTGTGCATTGATTTACTGTCCCTGGCCTTTTACACCGAGTTCTTCTAACGCGTCTGTCATCACAGTATCTGGGTAACAGCAGAGGATCATAGAGCAGCGATACAATTTGAGTTGTTTTCATTATTTACCTGGGTGTTTGTGTTATTTACATTCATCAATGATTATACTCGAGCTTAGAGGTGGGCTGGGATGGGGAGACGTGACGCCACTGACAGCGGGTGCTCGCTGCGGGCTGGGGGTGCGCCGGGAGCTGCAGAACCTGCCTGTCGTGCTGCCAGGGCGAGGCAGAGGGTGCTGCCAGCCCATCGATGCGTTTGGAGGTGAAGGCTGCAGGGACACCATTTTCGTCGATCCCACAATTTAATCCCTCCCATCCTATTAAGGCACGTAGACAGGGCCAACCCCCCGCTTTGGTCGGGGATGGGGAGAGGTGATGAACCAGGTCCCTGGGGGTCGCAGAAGAACCAGTGTTTTTTGTCATTGTAACAAGAAAAAATGCAGGAAATACGGGATTTTTGGGGTCCTGTCCCCCAGTAATTGCACCCCGATGGGGTTGGATAGCTCTGTCCCCCCTTGCCCAGGCTGCTTTGATGTTCAGGGGGTAGCGGTGGCTCAGGGACGTGCAGCCCTGTTGAGCCACCACCTGCAGTGCTGAGGGGGTTTGCACAGCCCTGTTCTCTCTTGAACCAGTTCTGCTGGTACGTGCTGGTGAGCCAGGGCTTGGCTCTGCTCAAACCTTGTGTGCCCTGACACATGGCCACCAGCACCTCCAGCTGCTCTCAGCAGCATCTGGCTCCACTCCAGGGGTGGTTTATGGCTCTGTCCTGGCACGAAGCCTCAGCCGGGCACTGAACCACGGCATGGCAGGGACACGACACTGCCTGCTCGCCCTTGTGTTGGTTGGGCAGCTGCGGGCAGCGCGGTGTGTCAGTGCTCTCCGTTAAGCCAGGCAGGGTTGGCAGGTTTGGTCACACCACGCGCCGGAGGGACGATGTTCTTGTGCCGTATATGCTGACATTGGGCAGCCGAGGCCAGCCCAAAGCGCGGGTGTGAAACCTCGTGTTGAGGGTAGGCACGAGTGGCCCCTCAAGCTCTGCTCCCTGAAGACCTGCTGTGCCACATGGCTTTTCCCATCCAGGCAGCCCTGGTGCTGCTCAGGGAGATGCAGGGGGCCGGGGACTGGCTGGAGGGCAGTGGCTGCTCCAACCTGGCCCCCGAGGAGCAGCTGCCCTAAACCTGTGAGACTTTTCCAAAGTTCCTCTTCCAGAGGGTTTCCATGGTGGCACTATCAGCTGCAGCCTGCTGTGTGTGAGGCTGGTCTGTCCTAGGAGGAGGTCTCCAATGTCACCCCGATCGTGTGTCGGCCCTGCTCGCTGGCGGGGATGAAGCGCCGTCTTCACTGGCTGTTGGTGGGGAGGGACGTGGGGGCACTACGGGAGTCTCCGTAACTTCATTTTGCGCTGGGAAGCCTCATCACCGTTTTACGGAGAGGGCTTTGGGAGCACAGTGAGGAATATGCCCAGATGCCTGACCATCTCCAGCAATGGTCCTCAGCTCCCGGCTCATGCCCAGACTCCTAACCCATGCTGCCCACCTTATTTGTCCTAACGGAGATTCCAGCTCTGCCAAGAAACTGGGCAGTAGCCCCTTGCTGTGGCAGATGGCTCCCCTGGCCTGGCCACAGCCTGCAGATGCTCTGCACTACCTGAACCCGTACATTTTTTAGTAGGGGAGACCAAATGTTTGCAGGAAGCCCAAAATTCCTGTGTGCTGGGCAGGGGTGGCGGGGGCGGGTCACCCCGGGGCAGCAGCACGCTTGGGCACTTCTTGTCTTTCCTGGCCCCCGGCGCTGTAAGTTAACACCCCACAGGCGGGTCCAAAGAGGATTTCAACGAAACCTGAAGCTTGGGAGGAGAGATTATGCTGCAGAAGTGGCCTGGGAGACCGTAAAATATGCACTCCCACAATCGCCAAAGAAGGAACTGGATTTGCTCCCTGGGGAGCAGGGTCATCCCTGGTCTCGGTAACGGCATCTGGGGGGGGAGATGAATGCCTTGAAGATAGGTCACCCCCTTCTTTCTCAGCCTGGCCCCGCTGAGCCTCCCCTGGACCCTGAGCGTGCTGACTCTCCCAAAATTTGGTGCCTCCTGGTAGGCCACTGCTTAATGAAACCCAGGTTTAGCACAAATGCCCCCTGCACGGCTGGCCCTTCACTTGCATGAAACAGCAGCTGGGAGAGTAAAGGAGCGGGGTGTTTGTGCTCCCCCAGCACCCCGGGGAGGAGGGTGCCAGCAGCCTCTGCCCCACAGGGTGCTGGTTTGGGATGAGGTGACCTGTTCCAGGTCCTGTAATGCTGGGAGCAGAGCTGAACGCTGCTTTTATTTGAGGTGGTTTGCTGGTTTCTGAGGCAACTGTATCTACAGAGCGAGGAGAGCTGGGCTGCGGAGACATCCCGTCCCATCCCATCCCATCCCACAGGACTCAGTGGGGATGTGCTGTCCCTGGCAGCCCGCTATGCTGGCACATGAGTGTGGGTACTGTAGGTGAAGGCTGCCCCACCAGCCCTCCTGCCCTTCCTAGGAGATCTTCTCGCAGGGGACTTTGATGGTACTACTTAAAGTCTCTTGACGTCCTGGTGAGAAAAATCAGAGTGCTGGTCTCCAGTTCACTCTTCTGGACCTGAAAAGGTGCAGACCTGGGAGGTGCCTGGAGAGGAGTGATGTGCTTTTCCCAGTCCTTCAAGTTGTCACTGCCAAGGTCCTTCCAGCTCTTAGCAGAGTCTCACACCCAGAGTGCAGCCCTGGCCATGGTGAGCATGATCCTCTCGGTGTCCCCCCATCATATAATACAACGTGCCCTCTTGAGCTGGGTCTGGCAGAGTGTGGTAGGGTGGTGTTTTTTGAGGCGGAGCTGGAGGGAACCCCACTTAGATCTGCTCTGCTCCCCTCTTCCCTTTTTCACCCATCTTTTGCTTCGTGCAGCGTGGCACAAGTCTTGGTCTTGGGACCACGGAGAAGCTGTACGTCAGGGCCAAGCAGATGCAGCTGCAGGTGCCGGGGCAGCCCGTGCTGTGGCCAGGGGCCTGACACAGGGGTCTAGAGCCGGTCCTGGCAGCCTGTAAGTGACACACCGCAGAATGGGCTGAAAGGGACTGTCACCGAGCCAAGGAGAGCTGTGCCACCACAGCTCACGTGTCCTCTGGGGCTTCTGTCACCCTCTTGGCACAGCCCAAACTCCAGCTCCGCGGGGCTGCCTCCTGTTCCCTGCTCCGGATGCAGATCCAGACCCCATCTGTTTAGTGCCTTTGGGTTTGCACCAGTGTCCCCTGACGCCTTTCCAGTGAGCCGTCACCTCCCAGCAGTGGCTCTGGGGTTTGTGCCCTCTGCTCCCAGGGGACGGCTGCCTTTGCATGCAAATGAGCACTAGCGGAGTTGGGGTTCCTCTCCTGGGAAGGTGGGTACGTCCACTCTGGGGCAGCGCTACCCCACAGCCCACCTTCTGTTGCTGGCTCGGCCAGGAGCGAGCCGCCTTCTCACCCCATCCCTCTTCTCTCCCGCAGGCACATACCAGGGCCAGTTCACCAATGGCATGCGGCATGGCTACGGCGTGCGGCAGAGCGTGCCCTACGGCATGGCCTCCGTGGTCCGCTCCCCGCTGCGCACCTCCCTCTCCTCCCTGCGGAGCGAGCACAGCAATGGCACCCTGCCCCAGCAGGACTCCCCCGCCGCCAACCCCGAGAGCCTGCCCCTCTCGCCCACCATCACCCGCGGGGGCAGAGGCAGAGGCCGGCAAGCCCAAGAAGGGGGGGCTCTTCCGCAGGGGCTCCTTGCTGGGGAAGCTGAAGAAGTCCGAGTCCAAGTCATCCCTGGCCAGCCAGAAGAGCCGCGTCAGCTTCCTCAAGAGCGAGAGCGGGATCAGCTCGGCCGCCAGCGACGCCACCTCCACCGTCAGCCTGGGCGAGGGCGCCGAGGGCGAGGAGTACCCCCCCTTCGAGTCCGACATCGACGCCACCACCACGGAGACCTACATGGGTGAGTGGAAGAACGACAAGCGCGCCGGCTTCGGCGTCAGCGAGCGCTCCAGCGGGC